TTATTTACCCTTTTCTATATATGGTCCAATTTGCGATATTTATGTATGATTGTGGTAGGATGATTAAGATTCTTTTGTCGTTAATCAAAAGTTTCAGATCATGTTCTTGAAAAAATGAAAAAAATTACTCTCTTCGTTTCTATTTATTTGTCACCATTTTACATTTCACACCCCTTAATAAACTATGTAACTTTTACTTAGTATCCTCCTGAAGTCAAGTTTTCAATAAATGAACATATATTAGTTTATTTTGATTAATTAAACTGACTAATAAATATGAATTAATCATTTAGTTTTCCAATGTTGATCAAATTTATACTTTCAAGACTAATAATTATCAAGGATAAAATAGAAAGATTAATAGTACCATTTATGTATTGATTTTGTGAAAGGACCATCTATTTTTAGTAAGGACGATATATAAATAGAAACAGATAGAGTATGTTAGAAGTGGTGCTCCAAAAAATGGATCATCAATGCGCGATGCAAATAATTTAGTCAATCTTCAATACAGATATTAGACACTCGACGGAATTAAAAAGTAAAAAGGAACTTGTGCTTCCTATAAGATTATGTAAATATTCGGATATGGTTAAAGATAAAGAAAAAAGACGGTGTATGACTTGTCAGATATTTGCATTTATTGTAAATAATTTGATTCGATCCATAAAATTGTGAGTATAAGTGAGACAACAAGTCAATCAAATACAAGTGGATAATTCGTGGTAATTAACTGAGGAAATGTATATATGTTTGATGTCTCTATCTATACATACAAACTGGAATATTGCTTGCAAACTATTTATGAGTTGACATTTGTTATTCTTTAATTAGCTTATTAATTCATTTTGTTGAATAGCTTGTGCATGGCTAGCCCTACAAATCTTATCGCTTACCATCATGTTAAAACTTACGAGCCTTAACATAAGGAGAATGTTAGCATTATCCAACAATTTCCCTCCAATCTAAACACCTACCAAATGCAATATGTCATGGAAGTTGAAATTGTAATATTGGCTTTTAATTGACATCATACATCAAAAGTTGTAGCTAGCTTATAATAAAGGAATAATTTTATTACTTAATCAAATCTATCAAACAAGCTATGCTCGGTGCTTACTCCTATCTGAACCACCCCCAACTATATCACCCCAAAAATAAACACAAAAAATATCCACTCGTGAAAGATCAAGTTGACGTTATAAGTATTGCAATGTGAAAAGCTTTATTTGGAGAAGTAGAAGGAATATATATCATACGTGTAAAATTCGAGAAAGTTCTACATGAATATTCTACCATAATGGACATTCAGGAAGTGGTACATGAATTCGGGAAAAAAAAGTAGTATAAAGAAATAATCTATTTGAAATTTTTGACACATTTATTTATATCAACAGTCTATTCAAAATATCATTTTACGATTTTATTATATAGAAATTGATAATAATACACCATACATAGCTAATTAACGGAATCAATTGATTTTTGTATTGACTAACAAATTGATAAATCATGAGTATCATATAAAATGCCACATAACTTCCATCATCAGCATTATTGTGTCATCAATTTTTGGCATAAGATCTCAAATATTACCCAAAACATCAGTCAAATAATTTTATGGTAGGTAGGGACATGTTACCAAGTACCAACTAGGCTCTAGAATAGTAGAATACTAAATAACATATATATGCAGAGGTCAAAATCTAGTATTCATCTTCAAGGAAACGCTAACTATGAATCTATCACAATAAAAGAATTATGCAAAGTGGCCGGTAAAAGTGGAAATCCAAAATCCAATATAACCTATAGTTTGGTTCCACGTACACTAGAAATATTCTAAGAGTAACCTTCATGCTCAAGTTAGAAAAATAAATAAGGTTGATTTCTTAAATAGTCACTTAATTATGTTGAGTAATGTCAACATCCTGCCTATGGCAAGGCCCACGAGAGGTTTGGTGGCTCGGGTAGGAGTGATAATCGAACATGGCGCTTGCTTGGTGGACTTAATTAAGAAATAAAGTGTGTCTTTACTATCAGCTAAGCTTTCGGCATTTTGGCATGATGGTAAGTGTTTGATCCTAACAAGAATTAATATTTATTATATCATAAAGTCATGTTCCTTTTTTATTCTGATTTATATGAATAAAAAAGTTATTTTTTGAGATAATAACTATTGATCGAGTGATAAACTCTGACATGAATGAAGTTGGGAGCATCGAACTTGAGATTAATGATTGCTAAGTTACCTATTCAACGTTGTTTGTCAAAATTCTATTCCGATTCTTTCTTCTTTTTTCCTATTTAGTACCTTATTCCTATCTTTCATCTCTTTTAATGTGGTAATCTAATTTCATTTATCCTATAGATTAATAAAATTAATTTATAAAGTTCTTTATCAACTTTAACATCAAGATTTTTAATTCGATGTTATCGGCCAAAGTATATATCATACACAATAAGCCTGATTTCTTGCCCCCTTCCTTATCCTCTATGCATTAAAAAATATTAAACTTTATATTTATTTTTAAAAAAATATTTACAAAATACTTAGCATGTATGTATGTTATATACCTTAGAGATATAGTTTACGACTTTACGTGCTGTATAGTATATATATAATAATAATTAACAATGTGATTTAAATATTTTTATTGTTGTGCAAACGTAATTGTGAATAGACCCACCATTCAATTTTTAAAATGCATTACTAATCTTTAACATTTCGAGAAATTCTTCATCAGTGATACTTGTGAATTACTAATTTTTTTCAATCTCTTTGACCTTGTTTACCTTACTTTTCTATATATCAATAACTCAATCAAAATGTAATTTATCTTCAAGAATAAAAGAAATTCTTATGCTTAATTAATTCTTTAGTTCGATCGATATCTATCTTAATTCGATCATTTATTCTTTTTTTACTACTTGGTTTATGCACAACTACAAAATATCAAATATTCTAATTAGATTAGATTAATATCAACGAATATTGCAGTGTCATTTTTTAAAGAGACGAATCTTTTTTTTTACATATAGATGGATAAATTCCAATTTCCATTTGGGATAATCATGAAAAAAGAGCTCTAAAGAATAAAGAGTCCATATTTGGCCCAATCCTAATCCAATAATGGGCCTAAATCCTAGTCCGAGCTCATGTGACTATAAAAGGTAAAAATTTCACGAGCACCCGGTTTTAACAAAACTATTTAATTTGTATCCAATTTTTTGAAATTTTAGCATATATACCTACTTTAGGCTTGAGAAAATCAATTATGAAGTCATGTACTATTGAAATTTAGTCATTTTTATCGGATTTGTTTTTAAAATTTATACATATTAGTGAAGTTCAAGAAATTGAACTTTAATTATGTATGACTGAATTTCATACATAAATGATTGAAATATATCTATGTATGACAGAAGTTTGATAAAAAATGGCTAAAGTGAGGCACAATGACGAGGAAAGGCTCAAAATAGTCCCTCATCTTTGGGTTAATGCTCAAAGTCATCCTTGAGTTTTCACATGGAGCACTAATAGTCCCTCATGTTTGCAATATTGGTGCACTTTTGGTCCTCCCCTAAATTTTTGCCTATTTTTTAACATTAATTTTGTTCACAATTTTATGTAAGGAAAGTTCAATCATCTTTTTATATATTTAGTAGAAATAATAACTCTATGTGAGAGAATATGAGAAGAAAAACACCTTGTTTTGTTTAGTAGAAATCGTATTGTAGGTAAAGTCGAGAGGTTCATCACGACGATTTCACGTACAA